GGAGGGTAGGAGGAGGAGGAGGGTAGGAGGAGGGTAGGAGGAGGAGGAGGAGGATCTTACAGGCTTGGCTGACGCTGGTTTGCGTCTACCTGGGCCAGTGCGTCCCCGACGCTCCGCGGAGCGAGTGGGGCACGCGCGCGTGCGCACGCGAGGAACATGACGAATTGGTTGACTGGTGGATGGTGGGGCCTATGATGGCCGTCATCTAGGTGCATTGGTTTGAGGAGGAGGAGGAGGAGGAGGAGATGGAGATGGAGATGGAGATGGAGATGGAGATGGAGATGGAGATGGAGATGGAGATGGAGATGGAGATGGAGAGGAGGAAGGGAGCAGGAATGAGGCAGCAGAAGGATCAGCAGGAGGAGCAGCATGAGAGAGGGAGAAGAAGGATAGGAGGAGGAGGAGGAGGAGGAGAAGGAAGAGAGGAGGAAAAGAGGAGGATGGGGAGGAGGAGTAGGTGGATGATGATGATGATGAGGAGGAGGAGGAGGAGGAGGAGGAAGAGGAGGAGAGGGAGGAGGAAGGTAAGGAGGAGGAGGAGGAGGAGGAGGAGGAGGAGGAGGAGGAGTGTAAACCCAAGGGTCATCAACAATGTTGGAGTAAACCCTCCAAGCTCCCTCTTCATAGGCCCCTACAACAGTTCATTTCCACTGAGGGAACTGCCTCGTTTGAAGACAACCGTTGAAGACCCTGAAGCATGCCAAAAGATTGTTCTCGGGATCCCAACGCTACGAATCAACCTGACTGCTGCGTCTTGACGATCCTGAATCGTACCAGAACGCCGTTCCTGGGACTTCAACACCGCGAATCAACGTAATTGTTGCACCCTCAGAATCCTGAACCCGTCCAAAACACCATTCCTGATACGCTAATCATGGAAATCCGTGGACATCTGACAGATGTTTAAGACGAGTGCGCGCGCCGCTAAGGCGAGAGCCACAGTTTGAAGAGGAGCCGCCCTCAATCCGTGAAACGTTTGCAAATGTTTACAAAGAATGTGCGCAGCGCTGAGGCGAGAGCCACATCTGGAAAACGGCTCGTCCTCATTCCGTGAAAACCATGCAAGTTGTTAAAACTAATGTGCGCGGAGCAAAGGCGTGAGCCACAAAAACCACCCGCCCGCAAGGCGTGAAGCATTTGCAAAGTGTCAAAGCGAATGCGCGCGGCGCTAAAGCGAGAGCCAAATTATGAAAACGGCCCGCCCTCATTCCGTGAAATTCTTGCAAATGTTGGAAGCGAATGTGCGCGGCGCTGAAGCGGGAGCCACATTTTGAAAACGGCCCGCTCTCAATCCGTGAAACTCTTGCAAATGTTTAAGACGAATGTGCGCGGCGCTGAAGCGGGAGCCACATGTTGAAAACCACCCGCCATCCATTTGCGAAATTGCCGACAATCGCTAAGCTTCAGGATCATAATTTGTAAGGAAATATCCTGCGAAACGCCCGGCCCGCCCTCAAAATTGGCACTGGGGTGCGACAAGGGGCAGTTAGTTATAATGGAAAGGGTTTGAGGAGGAGGAGGAGCAGCAGCAGCAGTTGTAGCAGCAGCAGCAGAATGAGGAGGAGGAGGAGGACGGGGAGGAAAAGGTGGAGGAGAAGGCGGAGGAGGAGGAGGAGGAGGAGGGGGAAGAGGAGGGATGAGGAGGGGGGAGGAAGAGGACGGGGAGGGGAGGAAAGAGATGAGAAGAGGAGCAGGGAAAACGAGGTGGAGGAGGAGAGGAACGAGGAGGAGAAGGAAGGAGGAGGAGGAAGCGAGTAAGAGGAGGAGGAGGAGGAAGCGGAGGCGAGGAGTACGGAGCAGATGGAGGAGAGGAAGGAGGAGAGAGCGGAGGAGGAGGTAGGAGGAGGAGGGTATTGGGGATGTGGGTGGATTGGGAGGAGGAGGGAGGAGAGGAGTGGGAGGAAGAGGAGGAGGAGGAGGAGGAGGAGGTGTGGCCTGCTTTGCCCATCATCATTGGTACACCGAAGGTCTCTGAGAAGGGGAGATGCCCTCCCCCCGGAGAGTCTCCGCCCCGGAGGAAACGCTAGCGCCCACACCGAGGAGCGAGCCGGAGGGGCACGCGCTGAGGAGGTCGACAAGCGCGAGTAGGAGCGGCACCTGCTGCTGCTGCTGCTGCTGCGCCCCACACTTCTGCTGCCGCGGCTCGTGCTGGTCTTCCTCGACGTGGTAAAATGCTACGGTGGGAGGGGGCGCCCTGAACTTTTGCCCACAAGGCGTGGGGAAAAGTCCAGGGCGGGAGGAGGGCGCCCTAGACTTGGGCCCAGCAGGCGTAAGGAAAAGTCTGGGGCTGGAGAGGGGACGCCCTAGACTTTGGGCCAGCGGGCGTGGGAAAAATTCCAGCTGCTGCCGCTGCCGCTGCTCCCGCTTGCTGATCCTGCTCAACCCCCTCCTGCTCGCCCCTCCTCCCGCTCCTCCTGCCCAGGATGAGGATGAGGAGGAGGAGGAGGAGGAGGAGGAGGAGGAGGAGGAGGAGGAGGAGGAGGAGGCCGAGGAGGAAGTATTCGGAAGGAGGAAGGAGGAGGAGGAGGAGGAGGGGGAGGAGGGGGAGGAGGAGGAATGGCGTGTGCAGCTAGCCTGCGGGCGGGGGAGGGCCCTCGTCGCCCCGGCTGGGCCCAGCGCGGCAAAACCGGCGCGCTTGGGCCATGGGAGGGGCCCGGGGACCAGCCCTGCTCCTCCCGCCGGTGCCCGGTTGCCTCCCGCTCCCTCCTCCTCTTCCCTCTCCCCCCGCCGGTCCCGCTCTCCTACCTCCTCCTCCTCCTTCCCTCCTCTCTCCTCTCTCCTCCTCTTCCGCTGCCCCTTCCTCCCCTCCTCTCCTCCCCCTCTCCCTCTTCCTCCCTCTCCCTCCTCCTCCTCCTCCTCCCCTCGGTGCCGCTCAGCCTCCCGCCGGTCCCGTTCCCTCCTCCCGCTGGTGTTGCCAGAAGTGCCCCATAGTCCCAGGTGCCCCCAGGATGTCCCAGGAGGCCCCCACGGCCTCCAGAGAACCCCATCACGCGGAACAGCGGGCCCCAGGGGCTCCCAAAGTTGAGCACAAATCTGGGGGCACCTCGGGCCATGGGCACCGGTAGCAACCCCCGATCTCTTCCTCCTCCTCCTCCTCCTTCTCGCCCCTTATTCACTCCTTTCCTCCTCCATCCTTCTCCTACCTCCTCTCTCTCCTCCTCCTCCTCCTCCTCCTCCTCCTCTTCCTTCTCCCCTTCCTCCCGTAGTAATTTTGGCCCAAGCCATTTTTGGTTCAAGGCGGCACTGCAGGTTTGCTTCCACTTCCAAGCATGTCGGCCCAGTCCTTCTTGTCGCTGGCTGCCCCAGGTCTGACGCTACACCAGCTTGTCAGCGAACTCACGGGACGCTGATGCGCGCCTTCGCCATCTGCACGGCAGTATATTCTGAGGGGATCGCTCAAGCTGCACGCGAATTTTATCGTCAAGGGCGGATATCCAACAGCATGAAGAACAAGCTGATCAGGTCCGACAACGTCTACAACCTTGTTCGTCACATCATGGATGCCCCCACTCGCGACTCTCACGGCAGCTTGCTCAACGAATTGGGTGGTTCCAGTCGGGCAACGTCACGCTGCGCACAGGACGACCCGTTCCACGGGCGAGCTGGTGATGCTTCGAGTGGCGTGGGCGTGCTTCCGGATGTCATGTCCCAGCCTTTTCGGACATCACTGCGGGGGACAGCAGCACGGGCGGCACGGCAACCCAGGAGCTCTGCATTGGCGACGGGGTCAAAGCCAGCTCGCAGACGGAAGACTCGATCCCTCCAGGTGCATTCTCCCCTTGGCATCGCTCGGACGTGTGCATTTTTCTTTCGGCGAGGACCATCGAGGAGCATCCTTGATCACTTGGCGAAAAAACCACGCACGAAACCGAAAAAATCACAGGGAATGGACGTCCGAGCGATGGCCGGTCCCAGCTCGTGGTGGCTGCGGTTGCCGAGGCTCCCCAGAAGAAGGTCCATCGGTGCCCAAGCTGCGGCGCTGCCTCGGCCCTGGAAGTGCCGGGTCCATGGGCGCGCTGCCCAGACCATCGCGGTCGAGATCCCCGCTCTGGAGGCGAAGCAGGTCAGGGACCGTCGTGAAGATGCAACCGCGGACGCCCCTTATCCTTACAGCGCCGGCTTGAGTACATGCCCCGCGTGCGGATCGTGTATCAAAAATGCAGGGACTCAGTGTTAAAAACAACGAGGAGTTCATGCATACATTCACCCCCGAGTGAGTCATGTATCAAAAGTCCTATACTTTCAAAAATCCCATGTATCAAAAGCTGCCCTGTAGGATGCTCACGCTGAGCCCCGTGACGGCGCCGGGGCGGGCGCGGCCCCTGCCCTCGGAGGTGACCTTCCCGGCGAGCTTCCGGGCGGGACCGCTGCCGGCCGGAGGCTGGCGAAGGAGAGGAAGAGAAACAACAACAGGAGGAGGAGGAGGAGGAGGAGGAGGAGAGGAGGAGAAGGAGGAGGAGGAGGAGTTTCTCCTCCTCCTGCTCCTCCTCCTCCTGCTCCTCCTCCTCCTGCTCCTCCTCCTGCTCCTCCTGCTCCTCCTCCGACCGGAAGCTGGCGAAGAAGAAGAAGAAAAACAACAACAGCAGCAACGACAGCAACAGCAACAAAAGAATTAGCCCAAGCGGGTGGAGCTGGAAGCAAAGACTCCGCAGGCCGCTGTTTTGACGGCCACTGGGCCAGCCGCTGGCGGGGAGGATCCCCCGTACATGTCGGCGGCAGTCTCCCCAGAGGAGCTCCGGACGTTCACCTCGCAGATGCGCAGTGAGCCCAGTGACCTCCGCACCCAGGCCGACGCGATTAGAGTGGTGGCGCCGGCGGCCTTGCCGTGAGGGCGGCGTTCCTTTCTCCTCCTCCTCCTCTGGCATTCTTGGTGCATTAGCCAGTTAGCGCGCGCGCGTGCAACCCGGATACCGCCACGCACGCTTCAGCCAGTCGATCGCTCCGTTCGACTGCAACCGCTTCTCGCTGACGTTTTCCCGTATTTGGGTCACGTTCGCTGCGTTTGTTTGCCTCTTCTTTCCGGGCGTGGCTTGTCGCTGGCCCACTGTGGGGCGTCGCCCTCCACAGTGGTGACAAAAAGCTCCTCTCCGACAGCCGCGCCCTGTTTTTCTCCATCTGACCTTCTCTGACCGCTTCTTGTGGCAGTGTTACTCCTCCTCCTCGTCCTCCTCCTCCTCCCCTTCACCTCCTCCTCTTCTTCTTCCTCCTCCTCCTCCTCCTCCATTCGTTTTCCTTGCCAATAACTTCTCCCCGTCGCACCCCGAGGCCAGTTTCGAGGGCGGGTCGGGCGCCTTGCCTGAGACTTCCTCATCATTTATGACCCTGAAGCTTAAACATTAGCAACGGTTTCACACATGTAGGGCGGGTGGTTTTCGAAATGTGGCGCCGCGCACACTCGTTTGAAACATCTGCAATGTATTCACGGTTTGAGGGCGGGCTGTTTTCAAAATGCGGCTCTCGCATTAGCGCCGCGCGCATTCGTTTCAAACGTTTGCAAGAGCTTCACTGTACCACGAATTGTGATTTGGACGGATTCAGGGTTCTGAGGGCGCAACAATTACGTTGACTCGCGGTGTTGAAGTCCCAGAAATGGCGTTCTGACACGATGCAGGATCGCCAAGGCGCAACAATCATATGGATCCGTGGCGTTGGATTCCCGACTTCAACGGGAAGGTGTATTCCAACATCGGTGGGAAGCTGTATTCCAACATCGTTGATGACTCTTGGGTTTACACTGGTCCTCCTCCTCCTCATCCTCCTCCTTACCCTCCTCGTCCTCCTCCTCCTCCTCCTCCTCCTCCTCCTTCTCCTCCTCCTCCTCCTCCTTCTCCTCCTCCTCCTCCTCCTCTCCTCTTCCTGCCCCCGCTCATTTTCCTGCCCCCGCGCATCCTCTGCGTCCTCCCCCCCGTCTCCGAAGGAGCAGCGCCTGCGGGCCCATGGGCGCTAGCCGGCGCCAGCACGCTGTGGGCAAAGTCAGGATCAGGGCACGCAACACATGGCAGTGAACCCGAACATCCTCGCGTCGTGGAAAATCCGCATCGCTCAACCGACCCATATCCCCATCCCCATCTCCATCCAGACCCCCACCATCTCAGCACCCCGGTTGGGGGTATACCCCTCGAACTCAGAAGAAACAGCCGACATCCTTATCTAGGAGGGTAAATCGGCCAGCGGGGCCCAGGCCACGCCCGTTGGGATAGGGGTCGACTAAACGATGCTCACAGACATGCTTGCGTGTCAAAGAAACATCTGGACGGGAGGCTTTTGGTCGTTCGGGCCCTGTGCGGGCCCTCGCCGGGCCTCGGGACCGTCAAGAAAACGGTTCAGGATAAAAAACCAGTCCCGGGTTCCAAACGGCCGCGGCTCTCCACGGGCGCAACGGCCTGGCCGCACCCTGATAGGTGGGACACAATTGTGTTCCTCCCTCGTCTCATCCTTCTCTTCCTCCTCCTCTTTTTCCTCCTCCTCCTCCTCCTCCTCCTTTTCCTCCTTTTCCTCTTCCTCCTCTTGTGGCAGCGTCGTGAAACGAGCGAAGCAGAGTGTAGCAGCAGTGAAACGATGCGTGCAATGCTGATGTGTCATCGCCTGGTCGCAACATCACGGCTCAAGCGGTTGTTCTTGTGGCGGAGAATGGGAGGTTCAGACTGGGGCGCTCACTTCCCGAAAACCGTTCCAGATCCCTCGCCATCAGATCTCTTCGATTCCAGTGTTTCTCCTCGTGCGCTGGCCATCTCCACCACTGCCAACGCTTGTCTCTCGCAGAGACACCTCTGGGGCGCGCCCGTGCCGCTGGGCTCGCTGGTGATCGCGGCGGCGATAAGTTTCTTGTTCGGGGCCGCTGCAGTGCTGGCGGTGTAAGCGACGGTGTGCGGCTGCTTGGTTTTGCTGCGCGTACTGGTGTGGGCTTTCTACTACGAGAAGGCTGGCAAGGGCTCTTCGCCTCTGGTGCAGGATCTTGTCACCAAAAAGCGGAGGTTCGTTCGCGGGGCGCTCAAACTGCAGGCCGGGGACACGATCTTCGTCGACTACGGCGTGGAAAGGGAGCCCTGGCATGAGAGGCTTTGGTGCTGGCAACGGTGGCAGGCGCCACTTACCCAGAGATCCGATGTCCTGATTTTGTTGAGTGCGGGGTCCCCAGAAGACTCGACCCATTCCCCAGGACGGGTTTTTCATCCTGAGTCTTTTTTGACGGTCCCGAAGCCCGGCGAGAGCCCCTAGGAGCCGAAATTTGCGAAAAATCGCCGTCTTGATTTTTTCAATGCGTTGGATCTCTGGGTACGTCATCGTGACGCCACACCGGGACGTTTACGAAGAGGCGCACGACACGGACAGCGTGGCGGACTTCCAGCAGGCGGGACCCCGCGGCGGGAGGCCGCTGGGCCTGGGCGCGGCGCGCGGGCAGCCGGCCCACCGCTTCGCCAACCGCGTCGTGGGTGGCGAGCTGGCGGCGCTGACGAAGGAGGCGGAAGAGCTGGCGGGAGAGAGGGGGAGGAGGAGGAGGAGGAGGAGGACGACGAGGAGGAGGAGGAAAAGAGGAGGAGGAGGAGGAGGACGAGGAGGAGGAGGAGGAGGAGGAGGACGAGGAGGAGGAGGAGGAGAAGAAGAGGAGGAGGAGGAGGAGGAGGACGACGAGGACGAGGACGAGGAGAAGAGGAGGAGGAGGGGGAGGAAGAGGAGGAGGAGGAGCTGGCGGCACAGTTGCGGGAGGAGCTGGACTTTGCGGCGATCGAGCCTGGGCCCGAGGCGGAGCCTGGGGCGCCGCCGCCGCGGCCGCCGACATCAGAGGCGCCTGAGGAGGAGGCGGCGCGGCTGCGGCGGGCCGACTGGTGCTGCGCGGTGGAATCGGCGGCGGCGAAGCGCGGCATGGTATTACTCCCTGCCGGACGCGCTGGATACGCCCTCGGAGACCTTTCGGGCCATCGGGGGCTTCGGTATTTCTGACGTGGGGCGCCGGGGCGAGGCGGCAATCATGGCGCGGCTGGAGCGGGACAGGAGGCGCGTGAACGCCACTTCACCTTTCTGGCGGGCGCTGATGAACTGCTGGAGGGCGCCAAGACGCCGCCCGCGCCAGCGGAGGACGCGCGCGCGCTGTCCATCCTGAGGGACTCTGACGGGCAGGCGCATCAGGACAATGAGGAGCGTGGCCGAGAGCGCGGACCTCAGCGACTTCGACGATTGGGTGCTCTCGGGGCCGCGCACCACGCTGTACGTGGTGGGGGAGATCGCCAAGATGAGCGGTGGCCCGGTGCAGAGGCACACTGCCTGGAAGCACTAGAACACGCCGAATGACGCTGAGCACAGCGTGGTGGTCCACGAGATGCTGTCGGAGATTCTGGAGCTCGCGTGCACCTACAATCAGATGGACGTTTCGAACTTGGCCTGCCTGGAGGCGCTATCGCGACACATGCAGTTCATAGAGCACAAGGCTTAAGAAGAAGAAGAAGAAGAAGAAGGCAACGGCGAAGGACATCGACTCGCAGGACTACTACCACGGGCGCACGCGGCGCACAGGAGGTGCGATCGCGAGCCCAGAGCAGCTGAAGTGGGCGGCCGAATCTGCGGCCATGAGCTCGGCCATCTTGAAGGAGGAGCGGAACGCAGCGGGGGAGCGTGCACTGGCGCGGGCCCCTCCGAAGAAGTCACGATGCTGGACGTGGCTGGGGGGCGGCTGACCCCAGCCGGTGCCATCAGGCCGCTGGAGCGCGCGGTGCCTCGGGATCTACTTCCTCTTTCCATGGTGCCATTGTCTCCAGCCAGGGGCACGAGGTCCTTGCCTCGTCGAACTGCCCAGAGGGTCGGCCGCAGGTCTGCTGCGAGCCGCCGCGAGAACGACTGCGACGCCGCCCTGGCCGACCTGCGCGGGGAGGGCGAGTTTTGCTCGAAGGCCGGACCTTCGGAGGCTAAGTTTCCCGGCGCGGGCTGGATTTGGCAGGCGGCCTCCGACGACACCCCGCCGATCGACGCACCCAGTCCCGAGGCAGCCCCGACGGCCTTGACTTGCGGCCCAGAGGGCTCCACTTTGGTTGCGCCGCATGATCGCAGTCTGGTTCCATGGCCTGAGCTGGCGGGGCGGGCTGCGCGAGCTCGCTGGAGGCGCTGCCGGAGCCAGACTGCCAGGACGTGCTTAACGGTAAACATTCGCTTTAGCTTCGCGCCGACGTCGTCCGCCCAGTGCATGCGAAGGTCTACTGGGAAGGGAAAAGATTTTGCGCGCCAACAGAGGCGAGCGCGTCACCTTCGCCGAGGACCTGCTCATGTGGGACATGGTCGAGCTGCGTCTTCGTCGCGGCTTTGAAGCGGGAGTTTGCCTCGCGAAGAAGAAGTCGGGGCGACTTCGACTCATCGTTGGTGCGAGGGCAGTGAATCAGTCCCCCAGGCGCCCTACCTCCACTCACCCGGCGTCTACTGCAGCCGCGGCGACCATGGGCGTCGAACATGGGGGCGCGCTGTCGTTCTCGATTCAGGACATCGCCGACTGCTTCTACCAGTTAAAGGTGCCCGACTACACGGCCCCGTGGCGGCGGCGGGCGCTCGGGTTCACCCTTGCGCGAAGGCGCCGCCGACGGGCCCCTCGCGGGCGACGCGCCGGACGGAGCGGGCGCATCGTGAGCTTGTGCGTCGAGGTGGCGCTGGGGGCATCGAGGGCAAGCTGGCGGACCGCCAGCTGGCGCCCGACGCGGCGGCGGACCTGGTGCCCAGAGCGGCGCGCGTGGACAACGAGAGCTTCGTCTCGACGCGGACGGGCGCCACGAAGGGGGCGCGCAGGCGCGCCGCCAAGGCGACGGCGGACGTCGGGCTGGCGCTGCGCGAGGTCGAGGAGGGCAAGATCGCGGTGGAGGCGCTAGGCCCAGAGCTGGACGGCATCAAGCTCAGGGCGAGGCTAGTGAAGAGGAAGCGCCGGCACCTGCCGCCGGGCGCGAGGGCGCTGCTGCGGAGGCGCGGGGTGGCAGGCAAGGAGGTGGAGAAGCTGGTTGGCCACTTCGCCCACGCCATGCTGCTGAACCGGCCCTCGCCGAGCGTCTTCAGATCCGTGTGCGACTTCGCCCAGAAGTACTATCGCCACCCAGCGCCGCTGTGGGCGTCGGCGAGTCGGGTGCTCGTCAACGCCATCGGCCTGCTGCCGCTGCTGACGGCGCAGTTCGACCTGCCGCGGTCGGGCCCCCCCACCTGCTCGGGCGCGACGCTGAGAGGCCATGCCGCGCAGGAGGCGAGCATGGATCCCAAGGCGGCGCAAGACGTGGGCCGCTGGAGCGAACGCCGGCGGTTCCGCGTCGAGCGCGCTCTGCGCCCTCGGGAGTTCGCGCTCGAGGGGGATGGCGCCAGCGGAGAGATAGAACCTTCTGCTCACATTCCTCATCATGTGCCTCACGCGTTGTATTGCGTCGCTTGTCAGTCTGATCCTCTTCGGGGCGGTCGTCTTGGGCGTCGCGCTTCGGGGGGCCCTCGAGGACTTCCCGGTTCAGAACTCGAATGTCATCAAGCTCATCATGGCTCGGAGGACCATGGGGGGCTGGCAGAGCTCTTGGGGCCCCAGGAAGACGCCGACGCGCAGATCACCATCGATCCTCACTTCCCCGAGCTCCCCAAGGCGTCTACCGAGAAAGCGAATTGGACGACTATTCCGGCGATGGGGTCATCACAGGAAGGAGGCTGTTCATGTCAAAGAGTTGCGAGCGCGGTTATTTGGGCGGAGGAGGAAGTGTCGACAGAGGAGTCATCACCGTCGTCATCCGTTGTTTCTGTGAGATTACATGGGTATGATTCTGAGCTTGGGGAACGGTCGCACTGCGTCTCCGCCTGCATTCGTCTTGCTCAGAAAGTGGAGCGCGCCGTCCTTGGCCGCGTTCTCTCGCGCCAGCGCACAATGTGTCGCCAGCGAACTAAACCCGTCAGATGCACCCAGCCGATGGTTCGACTCGCTCGCCGAGAAGGCGGCTGCCGCTGCGCTGGGGGCCCGCCAGCGAGAGGGTGCCGAGGCGTGCTCGAGTGCCGGGCGCGAGGGCTGGCGCCAGAGGGCATGGCGAGCTGCAGACGACGACGCGGCTCCAGCGCCCTCCGCGACGGCCGGCGCAGCCGCGCCTGGAGGCCCGCGCAAGAGGGCGCTGCAGAGGGCGAGAGGCGAGGGAGCCGCATCCCGCACTCCAGCATCGCGGCCCCCTGCCGCGACCAGGTCGTCGCGCGTGGCGCCCAGAGCGGGAGCGGGTCAGGAGTGCTCGACCGCGCAGCGACGTCGTTCATCGACGAGATCTCGCCGATCCCGCGCGCGCCCAGCTGGCCGCATCCAGCCGCCGCCGTTTGCGGAGGCGAGGCACCGGGCCACGGCGCGGAAGGTCGGCGCCGGCGGGTTGACCACCCTCGAGGAGGCGGCGCGGGACTACGAGAGGAGGCTGGCGCAGTTCGACGGCTTCGACGGCTTCTGCAGGACGCACGGGCTCGTTGTGGAGAGCGACGGCGACTTGGAGGAGGCCTTGGTTGAGCACATGGACATGCTGTTCGCGCGCGAGGAGCCGTCGAACGGCGGGGCCAAGCGGCTGGCTGCCACCGGGCATCGCGACCCTCGGCTGCATCACGCGGACCGCTCGCTGAAGCTGCCGCGCGTGGCGCGGGCGCTGCGGGGCTGGGGGCGGCCGACGCCGCCGGCGACGCGGACGGCGGCGGCGGCGATCGCGGTGGCGCTGGTGTCCCTGAACCACTGGCGGGCAGCGCTTGGCGTGGCGCTGGCGGCCGGCGCTTGCCTCCGCCTGGGCGAACTGCTGTCGCTGCGGGCGCGCCGCGTCGTACCGGCGCAACCGCTGGCGGGGGCCGACTACGGCCTCACGTCGTTGGCGCTGCGCCCAGAGGAGGAGAGCGTGGCCACAGAGACCGAGGGTTTCAACGACTCGATCCTGCTGGACAGCCCGGCGAGGTTGCACTCGGGGCCGCTGGTGGAGAGGCTGGCGAACAGCCTTCAGCCGACGCATCGCCTCTTTCCGCGGTCGGGCGCGGTCTTCAATGTCACGCTCAAGGAGGCGGCGGCGATGGCGGGGTTGGCCAGCTGGGAGCTGGCGCCGCACATCCTGTGCCACTCGGGGCCCTCGCACGATTAGCTGACCAAGGCGAGGGCGCTGGAGGCCATCAAGCGTCGAGGGCGCTGGGCGCCAGACCTCAGCGCGCGCCGTTACGAGAAGGGCTCGCGGGCGACGCGGCGGCTCGCAGCCATCGGCCGCGGCAGGCAGCTGCTGCTGGCGGAGGCCGACGCGCAGCTGGAGGTGGCGCTGGCCACGGGGCAGTTGGGGGGCATCGCGCGCAGGCGCCAGGAGGAGGGGCTGGTTTAATCCAGCCGCTCCTTCTGGAGCTGTTCGAGGGCGCCAAAGGCCTGGCCAAGGCCATGCTGCGACGTTGCTGGCGTGCGCGGACCTGGGAGCTGCGTGATTCGCCTGGGCAGGATCTGACGCGCGAGAGAATGATACTCGGCATGCTCATGCTTGCGCCTTTCGCAAGCGATGTTC